GGATATTATATATACACTCACTCGTACTACCCGCATTTCGAGCTCTCGAAAAAAGCGAAATTGCTCGAGTGTGGCGTATAACCAGACCGATGCGACTGTGAGAGGGTTCGTGGGTCGAGCAACACATGACGCTTGTGGATCTCGGTGGGTCCACTCTTCGTTCCGCGCTGCTGCCTTAGGTGTAGAAACGCTGCGGGGGTCGAAATGGAATCATGCCGTCCCTACTAACTCGTTCTTTGATAGCCCCCTACCCACCCAACCCAACCTTGAAAATCGGAGAGTCCTAGTTCACTGCGCGCAGTCAGAGCAAACTGAATTGTTCTTGCTAGCGTTAGCGTTAGCGCGAATGGAAGTGACGGAAGGGACGTCGTCGTTAGACTGAGAAGAAATCACTGCCTCTGTTATCAGTAACGCCTGTTCGTAGTAAGTCCTCATCGTTGTCGATAGCGACATCGTTATCAGCAAACTGCGGCTAACGCTCCATTAGGAGTGCTGTTCCCAACTTTGATATCATAATGATTTAATGATTAATGATTAATGATTAATGATGATAATTCCATAACCCGTAACCCTAACCTTAAACCCTTAACCCAACCTAAATGACATTAAACCACAAACTAACTATGATGACCATGCGCCATATATATTATATTTTATGACATTAATGACATTAAGTTTTTGGGAATACTCCTAATTAGAGTATCACCCCAGGACCGCGCGTCAGTGCGCCCCCCCCCCTTCGGCTATAGGCTGAATACAAACCCGTGTGTAACACCAACCACAGCAATGTAGCCTCGCATGTTTATTAGCCCTACAGGGTAGCCCCTTCGCTTCTATACCTATACCTGTACCTGATACCTGTACCTGTACCTTGTATCCTTGTACTGCTACTGTACCTGTACCTTGTACCATGTAACTGTACCTGTACCTGCCTACTGTACCTGTTACCTGCCTACCTGTACCTGTACTGATACCTGTACCCTGGACCTGTACCTGTACCTGTACCTGTACCTGCTAACCTGTACCTGCTACCGTATACCTGTACAGTACCTATTTACCTGTACATGTACCCTGTTTACCTGTACTGTAACCTGTACCTATACTTGTACCTATTACCTGCTTAACTGTAATGTACCTGTACCTGATACCTGTACATATACCTGTACCTTATCCTGCTACTGTACCTGTTACCTATACCTGTACCTTTACCTGTACATAGTACTTTGTACCTGTACCTGCCATACCTGTACCTGTACCTGTACCTTATACCTGTAACCTGTACCCTGTACCTGCTACCTGTACCCTGTACCTGTACCTTATTACTGTACCTTTACATGTACCTGTACCCTATACGTACCTGTACATGTACCTGTACGCCCTGTACCTATACCTGTACCTGCTAACCTACTACCTATCCTATACCTTTATCTTGTACCTGTACCTGTTAACCATGTACCGTGCATACCATGCTACCTGCTACCTGTACTGTACCTGAACCTGTACTGTTACCTGCTACCTGCTACCACTGTACCTGTACCTGTAGCGAGAGAGGAGGGGCTACACGTGTAGAGCTAGCGTGTTAACGCTGAAGGGGTCGTTGTGTATCAGGTATACGATATATGTAACACTACATGTTATACACAAAGGTGTACAGAGCTTTGTGATACAGAAGTGTACCCTATTTAAACCCCTAACCGCAAACTAACCCGAAACCCTAACCCTAACCCTAAACATACCTCATATAAACATATAACTAATTAATACTAAACAACTAAAACTTACCTCGGGTACATATTTATGTAGTACCTGATACGACAACGACCCTTCGTACCGTAGCACAGTAGCCTGACGGAGCTACTGTGCTCCACGCTCATTTGAATTGATTGATAACCCCTATGCAAAAACTACGGCACGGCTTACCGGGCCGTATGTTAATTCTACCCGGGACATGTGTAGCAGCACAAGTAAGCAGAAGCGGAAATGAATACGCATGTACACCAAGTATACCATGTATCAAACGGTGAAATATCGTCAAGATTTAAGAACAAGTATCGTACACCAGTATTTATCGCCTGTGCACAATTCAAAAAGTATTACACCCTGTATACCCCCTACATATGACATACGGATTGTTCAAGTATACCATGTTCAACGGTGAAATATCGTCAGGATTTAGCACAAGTTATCGTCACCAAAGTATACGGCCTGTGCTACCAATTGCAACAAGTGTATACACTGTATACCCTAATTATCGACCATACGCCCTGATCACAAGTGATTACCTGTATTCAACGGTGAAATATTAGTCAGATTTAGGACACAGTGTCGTACACCATAGTATAGCCCGTGCCATTACAACAAGTTACACTCTGTATACCGCCTACATATCGACCATGACGCCATGTAACAGTATACCCAATGTATCAACGGTGAATATCGTCAGATTTTAGACACCAGTTTCGTACACCAATGTATAGTGTGCACCATTACAACAAGTATAACCCTGTATACCCTTACATATCGACATAAGCCATGTACACCAATATAGCCAATTATCAACGGTGAAATATCGGATCAGATTTAGCACAAGTATCGTACAACAGTATACGCCTGTGCACAATTAGAACAAGTTAACCCTGATATACCCTAAGATCGACATTTACGCAATACACGTATAAATGTGATCAACGTGTGAAATATCGTCAGATTTAAGACACCAAGTTCGTACCAATGTATACGCCGCTGTGCCAATTACAACAAGTATACACTGGTATACCCCTACATTTATCGACTACGCCATTCCCAGTATACCAATGTATCAACGGTGAATATCGTCAGATGTTAGACACAAGTATTCGTTAACAAGTAATACCATTGCTCCACAACAATATACAACAAGTATACACCTGTATACCCTAATCTGAGCATAGCCATGTCACCAAAGTATACCAATGTACTCAACGGGTGAAATATCGTCAGATTTAGACCAAGTATCGTCCACAAGGTTACGCCTGTGCACAATTACACAAGTATTACCTGTATACCCTACATATCGACCATAGCATGTACACAAGTTCCAATTGTATAACGGGTGGAATAATCGTAGAGTTAGACACCAAGTATGATAACCAAGTATACCGGCCTGTGCACAATTACAACAGTATACACCCTGTATACCCCAATACATATCGACATACGCATATTTGTCAACAGTATACCCAATTGTATAACCGGTGAAATATGTAGATTTAGGACACAAGTATCGATACTAGTATCGCCCTGTGCACAATTACAACAAGTATTACACATGGTTACCCTCATATGACATTACGCAATGTACACCAAGTATACCCATTTCAACGGTGAAATATCGTTGATTTTAGACACAGTAATTCGTACAAGTATCGCCCTCGGTGACAATTACACAGTATACCCCTGTACCTACATATCGACATACCATTGTTAACAAGTTACCCCAATGTATCAACGCGTGAAATATTCGTCAGATTTTAGACATCAAGTATTGTACACCAAGTATACGGCCTTGTTGCACAATGTTACAACAAGATATTACACCTGTATAACCCCTAATATGCACCATTACGGCCATGTAACCCAGTATACCAATTATCAAACGGTGAGATTAATCGGGTTAGATTTAGACAAACAGTTTATTCGTTAACAGTTATTACGCCCTCCTGTCTCGTTGCCATGCTATGTTCTAGTTAGCTTTTACTGCGCCACACAGCGACACGACACGTACGCTACGGCACGCACTCACGGCTGGCGCACAGCACAACACACACGCCACGCGGCATCTTGCACCCCCCTTTGCCAGCGCGCTTCTCGCGCAACGAAAACACACAGCGACGCACACTACACACACGTACGCAACGCACGCACGCACGACGCACACACGCGCTCTTACGCACAACCACACAAACACATTTGATAAGCAATGACGGCACGCACGACTACCACGCCTATTGAAAAGGCCCAAGAACGCAGGAGGCACACAACAGATGAGCCCAGAACCGCACGCACACACAATGAGACGAGCATAACGCAGGCGGGACGCACCAACATTGAAAAGCAAAGAACGCACGCCACACAACTATGATTGTGCGGAGTGACACGCGGATATTAATGCTGGTGTACCGACCGAAAGTCCGATCCCTGTGAGCACAGTATATATAAATAATAACACAGGAGAGCTTTCACAGAAAAGCTCGCTCAGTCAGTTCCGTCTCTGAGGCCTACAACATTATTACCGCGGCTAACGTCTCTCTCCTCTCTCTCGTCTCTCTCTCTCTCTCTCTGCGTGCGCTGTCGACGCGCTCTCTCTCTCTC